GATAGCGCTATAAAGTCGGCATCTGATCTGCATTATCACAAGGAGGCAAGTATACCAACACAACCTGTCTACGGCACACATACACATTAAATGCTTACACATCACACAAAACCTTGGCACGTCTTAAATGACCTTAGCTGTTAATAGGACATAAAACAAAATAAAACCAAACCTACACTCTGAAAATGCATCAAAATATTTCACTTTACATTCTCTTTAAGACCTTTTATAGACAAGCTTTTGAATTAAAAAATGTTTAAGGATAAGTTTTTAAGAATGTCAAGATGATAACGTCATTAAAAACTTTCAGCGTACGAACATTATGTATGTATGATGTGCATACGTACAAATGTACACCCCTATGCACGTGCGTGTGTATGTGCCTGCGTGCATGCATGCGTGCGTATGCATGTATGTATGTGAGTATGCAAGTATGTATGTTATGTTGTGTTATGTTTGTATATATGTTTTTGTTTAAATTCAAGGACTTTTTCAAGATACTTTTGTTAATTCAATGAATTTTAAACCTGTGTGAACCCTGTTCCATCATTCCGATTCATTACTGATTGCGTACCTGGTGGACCCAGTCTTTCTGATTGATATCGCCGATACATCTGTCCAGTGAGTTTGGGGTCAGGACGATGATGAAGTGATGGCCATTCTAACACTGCTCAGCAGTCCCTCGTCAAACTTGCAAGCGCGCAGCTTCTCAATCTCAAGGAATACAGAAAAACCTTTCAGCTGCAGATGGACCGTTAAGAGGCTGCACGAAAAACAATCTAAAGTAGGGACATTTCTGTAGAAACGATTTTTATTAAATATTAAGATTCAATCAAATGTAATAGATTAAAAAGCAATTCTTAACTGGTTTTAATTTCTTTTATAATAGGTTAGTATCTAATGAATATTTCTAACATAGTAAAGTTGAGATTTAAATACAGTTCATTCTAGAATAAAAGATAAATGATTACACTCTAATTTTCGGTTAACCCTTCTTTTGTTTTGTTTGAGTAACACACCTGGCTAGCTGAGATCCGTTGGTACGGCGATAACTGATGAAGACATCCATTGAACGGGACAAGAGGCTTCCGTCGGCCGAGTCTACACTACACTGGTCACTGTACATTTTGAGCTCTTTCATGACTGTCAGAGTTAAGGATACATGTGATACATTAATGTAACATACACCTCTTTTACGGAAGAGTTCTGCCCTATATATCCTGCAAAATGTCTTTTTGTATTTGCTTTGTTTATATTGACAACAGTTACATTATGTACACAACGTAGACCTCGAAGCCGCGACCCATTGTTGCCTGATCAGTGATTTTTCACAGTCAGACGTCTTAACACTTTTCACATTTTGTTTCATACAAGGTCCCCAAGGTAAGGTTTTCTTTCATGGAATGATTTATCAAAGATTTAGTCATTCATGCCTGCTAGAAAGTTTCAAATGCATAGTTACAAACCTTAGGAGTTAACTTAATTTTAACTCTACCACACATGACTTCAAAGACTTGTTTTATGCATGATTAAGTTAAAAAATAATTCCCACTAGAACAAGGAATACAGAAAAACCTTTCAAATGTAGGTGGACCTTTAAGATGCAGTAAGAAAGCAATCTATAGTAGGGAAATTAACATTTCTGGAGAAAAGATTCTCTTATTTTATCTGTACATCTGGAGCCCTTTCATGGCTGTCAGAGTTAAGGATACGTGTAAGACATTTATGTAACATTAACCTCTTTTACGGAAAAGTTCCGCCCTAAATATCCTGCAAAAAATATATTTTTGTGAAGTAATTCTTTTGTATGGCAACTTTGAACATTGTTTATATTGATTATACATTTGAAAGTTACCTTGTGTACACAACGTAGACCTCTAACCCGGGACCCATTGGTGGAGTGCCAGTGATTGTAAACAGTCAGACGCCTTAAAAACTTGACCCCGAGGAAGAATAACGATAAAACAAAAAACAGGATTTCAAAAGAATTTTATTTTTGGTCAAGGGTACCAATAAGTTCAGCTAACATAATTTGACCTTTTTCACTGAAGTGAAATATTTGTTTTTGTCCTAAACACTATTGTAAAACGAATCACATGTTGCCATGCATGCATTTCACATAATAGCAGTTGTTCGGAAGAATGTTTGAAAAAGAAATAGAAAAGGAACGAACAAGAGGCCCAGAGGGCCTGTATCGCTCACCTGAATATGTTTAAAATAATTGTTATGAAGTAAAGATATAGCACTCCATGGTAGGTGCTGTAAGTACATATGAAATTTCAGGATGGCCAGACCCACGGTTTATATAAAATTGAGTCCCAATAAGGATAAAATCCCTTAATCCCTACGGTAGGAGAAGAATTTTGAAGGTTTTACCTCTATTTCTCTCCCCCCCCCCCTGCCCCAAAGGAGCCACACCCACCATTTATACAAAATTTGAGTTCCCGTGGCCCAAGGATGCTTCAAACTAAATTAGGATAAAATCCCTTAATCCCGACAGTAGAAGAAGGATTTTAAAGGTTTTACCTCTATTTCCCATATTGGGCCCCGCCTCTCTGCCTCCAGGGGGGTTAGACATATCGTTTATACCCAATCGTTTCCCCTTCACCAAAGGATGCTTAATACCAAATTTGGACAAAATCCTGTCATTTGTACAGAAGAAGAAGGTATTTGAAGAAGTTGTTATGTTTCCCCTATTGGGCCCCTCCCTTCTGTCCTCAGGGGGGCCAAACTCGCTGTTTATACGAAATTGAGTCCCTTTTGCCCAAGGATGCTCCAGTCTAAATTAGGATAAAATCCCTTAATCCCTATGGTAGAAGGATTATAAAGGTTTTACCTCTATTTCCCCTATTGGACTCCGCCCTTCGGGTCCCGGGGGAGCCACACCCACCTTTTATACTAAATTGGTTCCCCTTTACCCAAGGATGCTTCACACAAAATATAGACCAAATCCTTTCATTCTTACAGAAGAAGAAGAATTTTAAAGAATAATTTGCTATGTTTACCGTATTGGGACCCACCCCTCGGGTCCCTGGATGGCCAGACCCAGGGTTTATATAAAATTGAGTCCCCTTGGCCCAAGGATGCTCCAAACTAAATTAGGATAAAATCCCTTAATCCCTACGGTAGGAGAAGAATTTTGAAGGTTTTACCTCTATTTCCCCTATTGGGCCTGGCCATCTGCCCCCCAGGGGGGCCACACCCACCATTAATTCAAAATTGAGTCCCCTTGGCCTAAGGATGCTCCAGACCAGATTTAGTCAAAATCTACTAGGCCGTTCAGGACTAGTAGCGTTTTAAAGGAAAAGTTGACGGACGAACGACGGACGACGGACGCTGCGGTATGGCATAAGCTCACCATGGTCCTTCGGACCAGGTAAGCTAAAAACTGCAATAATCGAAAACAGAACATTTACATTGCAAAGCTTACGATTTACAATATTGCTATCCAGAAGTTATAAATGTTCAGTATAAAGAGAGAAAAGTCCAAATAAAAAAACTACTCAGAGCGAAACTCTACTTCACAATTATAATTGATGCAGTCGTACCCTTTACCTTAAAATGCATGGTCATTTCAATCCAAACAAACGCCCTTCCCCAAAACCCATCGTTCACTGACCTTGATATCAGGGTCGTAGTCATACCTACCTTTTCTGTGTAATTTAACATGTTAATCCGATGTTGTCAGCGAGGTCCCCTTTAGTTATTGTCAGGGGCAGATCTCCGTCGACCTTGCATCGTTCAAATCTATCTGCCATGTTCTTGAAACCAACCAGTCAAAGATCAACAATCAGACTAGTCAAAGGTCAGAGTTGGAGATCAAGGTCAAGCAAACTTGGTCAGTAGTGCAGTTTTTGGCTTCGCATATTTGGTAAAAATGAGCTATTATGATCTGTCTGATAGGAACTTAACTCTTTCCGTACCGCAACACCGGTCCGGATTCCGTACCGGATGTACTTATTAGACTCGCCCCCGCGCATATAACAAAATGGCGGATTATTAATGTACTTTTTAGACTAGGTGTAACTGCCGCAAGAACTAAACAGGTAACCGTGAACAAATATTGTTATTGTTTCATGTTCTTGTTCATAGACAAACACTTCTTCATTCTCGCAGCATAATGACTAACTGGCAGCTGATTATGACTGAAAAATCGACATTTGTCTGGCAATAAACGATACGATTCCTTGTTTTTAATACAGAATTGTAATGCAGGTTTCCAATGGGGATTGATTATAGTTACGAATGTGGAGTCGTTGAGTTTGTTTTCTGAATACAAGTTGATTGCATCAAGACTTATATTAGAATATTCAAATTTACTTCCATAAGTCTCAACAAATATCTGATGATGAATTCACGAGTGTTCGTATCGAATCAAGTTGCCGCCATCTCGTTTACATTTGAGGCACCAAACGCAAACATCTTGCGGCAAATGCGAAAACATTAAGTCACATAATAAAAAAGTGTACTCTGCACAAGTAAAATCCAAACTGATGGGTTCTGATTTTAGCGACAATTAATTGTTTTTTCGCGACAGTCTCGTGCGATAACCAACTAAACATCAGGCAGGTAACATCAAAGTCTCTTGTCGTGTGTACATGACAACGGGGATGAGGCGGCCCTTTATTTTGTCGTCTGTACACGACACAGGGGTTATTACTGTGTTGTTGTTCGTTGTCCGTGGACGGTCTAACATTGTAAACAAGGTGAGTGATTATACGTGACTACAAATGTACTGTGATTCCTATACATACAGATATATTCTACAGCATCGGGTAATAACAACAATCGCCTACCACTGGATTGTGTGAAAGAAAGTTTCCATCCAGCGGACACTCTGGATTTTGTGAATACTACAGATTTGTATTCCTTATATGTAATCAAACATATCCTTGAGATTGGTTTTACTAGTGTTACATACATGGTAAACAGATGCACAACAAACTGCGTCACTGTGAAATCCATAGTAAACAAAAACTGTTTTGCATCATTTTATCATTATGGCTACATCCAAATACAAAGCTCAGATTCCTTTCCGTACCAAAGGCCAAACTACCTGTACACACCACAAGGGGAGAAAACTAGACCTTTACTGTGAAGAATGTCAAGTTCCTGTTTGCATCAAGTGGGTATCTACTGTACATAAGAGTCACCCTTTGTGTGACCTTAGTGAAATTACTCATCAAACTGAACAGAACATTCAAAGCTTTATAGACAAAACTGAGAAAGTGGACCTTGTACAAATCGACCAGTACATCACTTCTACTGATAGACATCTAAAGGACAATGCTAGCATCTTTGAGAATTTTTCACAACAGTTAAAGATACAAACAAACAACTTAAAAGAAGATCTGGACCTGCTAACAACTCAGACTCTGTATCTCTATAAACAAATAGAGGAAGATAATACAAAGCTACTCCAAACCTACAAACAGGATCTGGAAATGCACAGCACTCAGCTAAAACATCAGGTGCAAGAATGTAAGGTAGCCCTTCAGCGTGGCTCTGACATACAAATATACGACAAAGGGTGTGAGACTCAATTTCCAGTCACTCTCCCTGTAAAACCTGCCCTGAGTACTGCTAGCTTCAGTCCAAACAAAAATCCTCAGGGTCACCATGAAAAGCTTTCGGGGAAGTCATAACGTCAGGCCAAGGTCAGGGTCAAGCTTTACGAGGTCATGATCGGTCAGTTGGATCATCTGGTGGACAAGGACCATCCCCTTCACAACAGAGGTCAGAAAGAAAAGGAAGGGCGTGTCCAGTCCAGTTTATACCCTGTTGCCTCAGACCAAGGTGTTGGGGGCGTGGACGTCTCCATGTTATATATATTCTGTATGTCCCACCACTGATGGTCACGTGTGGACCAGTTACGATATCAGTGACACCTTAACTCTCCTGGACAGGAAGGGTAACGTATTACAGGAGGTTAAACACAAAAATGAGATCACAGACATAAGTATGTCATCAACAACCAACACACTGTGGGTCTGTGACAGGCAAAACAACATCACAGAGCTCGTGTCAGGTCGGCTGGTGCAAAGATTTAGAACAAAGGAGGAACCACAGTTTATATGTATCACAGCTAGTAACCATATCATTGTGGGGATGACCAAACACATATCTAGATTTACCACGAAAGGTACATTGGTACGTTCATCATTGGCAGAGGGGACTGGGAACCCATTAGTGTGTAGACCATACAGGATATCAGAGTGTCCTGTCACTCACAATGTCGCAGTGGCTGATTTGGATAGTACAGGTAATGGTGGTGAAGGAAAACCACATGTTGTTGTCATGAACACAGATTTCAAGGAACTATTTGTATATGATGGTGAGGTTCCACATACATATCAACAAACATCACAGTCAGAAGGTGAACCTTTTATCCCCTATAGTGTGGTGTATGACACTGTGGGTAACCTAGTCATAGCGGACTGTAACAACAACCGTATCCTACTCATCAGTGGGCGTGGTGAGTTCCTCAGGCTCTTACACACAGATGACCACTGGACACAGGCTATTGGTGTAGACAGGGAGGATGTTCTGTGGGCAGTGTTCGGGCTTAACAAAGTCAAACTATTACGGTACAGCAGTGTGTGACATCTTGACAAACAACAATGTATTTATCTAGCAACCATGAAAACTAACACTGACATGATTATGGAAGTTGTCAAGATTACTTGATATAAACTATGGACCTGAGATGTGTATCTCTACACAACAGACAATACATATATTACAATTATTGGAAATATATATAAAAAGAGAAGTAACTTCTGAATCTAAAGATACCATAACTGTATTGATACTGCTTCTGACTTAACCTTCGGCGTTAGAGGAAACCCGTCGTTAGACACAGCTATTTGGTGACTGATACATGGTGATGATGGAGTAACAATTAAAGTCATATGACTTCAATAAAATACAATGTCTATGATGTCATCAATAGTTAGCAAAGAAGTAAATATTGAGCAAACACTAAGCAAAATTTGGATTGGTACATAATAGAGACCCTCGGAACAATCTGATGTAAGTACTTTTCGCTTAATGAGATTATTTTACTAAGTTTTCTTAAATATCCAGGCGAGCGATACTGGCCCTCTGGTCCTTTTATTTTAACTGAAATAAATTTTTACGAAATCCTTTTGCTCTTTTGTGATTAATTTGCTGTACACATTGTTATCACCCTTCAATTAAATGCAGAACATATATCTAGTTCATTCTATTAACTATAACATTTAACTTTTTTTAAAGCTTTTTTAAAACACTTTTAAATTATTTGCAATCAAAGTGCGGTGTTTTAATAGAAAAACTGAATTCAACACATTTTTTATTGATATTTCATTATCATTCAATTTGTCAATTCTATGCGTGACTTGTGGTAATAAAATCATATTGAATTGACTAAAATTGGTGTTACTGACTATGATAACGTCTTTTGTAATATGTTTGGGCCAACTTAAAATAAACACACAAGAAATCCTATACAGAATTTTTGCACCCACCATCACACCATTTTAAGAGGTTTTTCTGTTCTCTAATCTGTCGACAGACCACAGACGAAGTGTAATTTGAATAGCCCACACTTGGAAAATTGTGTTGAAATATAAGGCATTAGATAAATATACTGAACAAAAAAAGAAACGCACAAAGTTCCCCCCTCAACGGATACTCTAAGTTCAGCAACATTGATTTTCCACGTTAACGCAAATTCAGAGGGGTAGAGCAATTGCGATGTTGATGGATGGTCATAGCCAAACTGCTGTCGCACGGCAGTTTGGTGTTGGCCCGTGTACAATTAATCGTCTCTGTACACGTTTCCGTGCTACTGGGTTAGTTTCCGATCGTCCCAGGAGCGGTCGTCCGCGTGTAACGACCGCACGACAAGACAGGGCGATTCGCTTGTCACACTTGCGCAACAGATTCAAGACTGCTGTAGAGACTGCGTCGCATATCTTAAGCACTCATGGCCGACCCATTAGTCCTCAAACTGCCAGGAACCGCTTGCGTGCCGATCGAATCATTGAGCGCCGACCTTATGTCGGGCCACCTCTGACACCACGGAGGCGGCAAGTGCGTCTTGACTGGATGCGCAGACATGGCCCGAATAGGTTTGGGATGCGTCGATGGAGGCGTGTGATGTTCACCGACGAGTCTAGATTCTGTCTGTATCGCTCAGGCGGAAGAAAAAGGGTATATCGCGGACGCGGTGAACGTTTCGCCGACGCATGCGTGGTTGAACGCGATAGATTCGGTGGGGCTTCTGTAATGGTTTGGGGAGGCATTTCCCATGGAGTAAAATCCCCCTTAGCGGTCCTGGATCAAAACCTCAATGCCGTTCTATACAGAGACCAGATCCTCCAACCACATGTCCTTCCACTTCTCAGACGTCATAACCTAATTTTCAAGCAAGACAATGCTCGACCGCATGTTGCCAGAGTCTGTCGTGATTTTCTCACGGCAAACAACGTTCAGCCTCTGGAATGGCCCCCATATAGCCCCGACATGTCTCCCATTGAGCATCTGTGGGATGAGCTGGATAGGTGTATTAGGAAACGTCAAACACCCCTTAACTAACCGCGCCCAGTTGATCGCAGCATTAACACAAGAATTGAACAACATTCCCTTAAAGCGAATAAATGTTCTCATGAATTCAATGCATAGGAGAATCCGTGCAGGGATTCGTGCAAAAGGTGCCCACACCAGGTACTGAAGTGTCATTTTGTTTTTCGCGGGTATCCCACTTTGAGTAACTACTGATGACACGAGTGACGTCACACAGACTTTTCTTCTACAGTATTGTAAAGAGAAGACTTGTCCCTTCATATTGATATAAAAATTTGTACAAATTTCCCAAAATATCATAGGCTATTGAATGCATAATTTAATTGTGCGTTTCTTTTTTGTTCAGTATGATTATATATATATTTTTCAATAACAGGTTAGTCAACTAATTAAATATAATACAGAGTGAAGCTGAACAATACACAAATAGAGGTCGATGAGCCAACACACAAATATAACATGTAGTGTCTGTACTTTATACTATATCTAATCATTAATGTTTATGTAATCTACAGTTAATCTGAAATTTAAAAGTCCACAGCCTTGACAAAGTCTACCATACTTTATATAAAGATAACATTCACATTCTGTCGGTTGATTATTTCTGTAGTTCGTCGGCAACGTCGCACAAACAGGAACTATTGCATGCACTGCTGCACACTTATCTATTAAATCGCTCATATTACACCTCCCCTTTAGATAGACAGGTATATAATTACACCCCTCACTTCAGGTTAAGGAGAACAATACACATTCCTACTCACCTGGCTAAAATGTAATGTCAATGTTCAGTTTTGTCTGTTAGATAAAAAAAAAAAAAAAAAAAAAAAAAAAAAAAAAAAAAAACTCACCTTCTGGCTCGGTAAAGACTGTTACGCGATTTACAAGTTTTAGAAGATCTACCCAGACAAACTCTTTCAAAGGAAAAGGTCATATGCCAAACATAGGTCACACTGAACTACGTTTTGTACTTGAAACTCCACCATCCCCAAGAAGAACTTGCATACCAAATTTAATTGTTCTAGGGTGAATTAGTATGTAAGGTAGGCCGGACAATATTGTTATTGGCAACCTTTAAACCCTAGGTCGTAGTGATCAACTTTTGTACCGGGCACTCTTTTATCCCAAGATGTACTAGCATCACGAAATATCAGTAAGGCAATGACAAGCTATTACTACATGTATCCTAAAGGAAGATAAATATAGACAATTCTTAACATACAGTCAACGTGTAACACAATTGAATACTGTTTATGGAATGACTTCTGGATCTAAACCATGAATAATTTAAACGGTTTTGGATAATTGAAGATTAAACAGGATTTCCTTCCGGCCGTTATGTAGGAAAACACCAGAATAGTATACGACAGTATGCAATATGCTGAAGACACAAAAAAGCATTCTTCTTTTTTGGTTACGGGTGGCGCATGGATAATGTACTCTATTTTTACCAAACTTGCCGGGATTCCTACATGAAAAGGTTCGGGGCACCTTTCTTACCAAATGGGATTTCTCTTGGGTGTCCCGTTTCCTCCACATTATGACCACCTTCCCCCGCTCATTCCAACGCGATAACATCCGGGTCAACAAGAGTAATCAATATCAGTTGAAATACTTATTTCATAATTAATGTAAAATAAACATACTTCATTCAAATAAACATTAAGATGTTTCTTATGATTAGGAGAAAGCATTCGACTCAGTGTCATGGACATATCAATTTTTGTATTAGAAGCTGGTAAGCTTGTAATCATTTCTAGATATAATAAGAGGATGTTACCGAGGTGACCTAATCATCCCTTATATTTTCAATGTGTGTGTGTTGAAAAATGAGACATCAGACTTACATTATGTCTATATGTGTCAACATTAAATTCGACTTGACTGATACAGAGTGAAACTTAACTATACACAAGTAGAGGTGAAAGAGGTTGGCAAATATAAAACAATTCAGCTTTTATCCCCTCTAATGAGTAGTAAATGTAATGTCTTATTAATAATTTTAATGAAATCTACAGTAGATCTGAAATTTAAATGTCCATGCCATGACAAAGTCTAGGCTGCTACCATACTTAATTCAAATATTACAATCACATTCTTTTAGCTAAATAATTCGACAGATCTTCGTCAACGTCGCACAATCAGGACTTATTAAATGCACTGTTGAACACTTGTCCATTACATCCCCTATATATAGACAGGTTGATAGAATCATTCACCCCCTTTGGGGTGAGATAGGGGAATCTCAACCCGAGGGGGAAGATTCTTATGTTGCCAAACACGAGGCTTTGCCATGTGGTTGGCAACTTAAGAATCTTTCCCCGAGGGTTGAGATTCCCTTATCTTACCCACAAGGGGGTGAATGATTCTTTTTCTCTTACATGTACCCTGTTTTCCCCAATGTGTATCATATACACAATGTAATGATAACGTTACATGCTAAATTCAGGGTTGACGTGACGTTGATGGATTGTTGACGTGACGTCATTGTATTGTTAAAGTGACGTCATGCCATTGTTAGGAATAGGGGAATCCCCCCGTCTCAACCATAGGGCGGTGACAGATAAATCTAGCACCGGCAAAACGGGAGATAAATCTGTCAGGTGTGGGAGAAAGACGTATACACCCCTATGTCACGCTAGGGAGATCAATACACATTCCTACTAATCTCGATAGACTGTATTGTCATACTACTGTTTTGGCGGGTAGATAATAAAACACCCAATAAGAGTGATTAATAAAAGTTGAAGTAACTTATTCCATAGTTGCTATATTCATGATCGATTAAGAGAAAGCATCCGACTCAGTGTCATGGACAGTTGTTGATAAAGTTTAAATTATTTTACTATCGGTTTCGGTATTAGAAATTGGGTAAAATACTTCCTGCTAACGCGATTCACTTATAAATGAAGGTGGTAACCTGTCATCATTTATCAATGTTAAAGAGGCTGTCGCCCAGGTGACCAAATCACCCCTATATTTTTATTTTGTGTGTTGAACTATTACAGATAAGACAAATAGAGTATGTGTATATTTGTCATTTTGACTTAACTGAACTATACTCAAGTACAGGTGAAATAGGCAAGAACAATAATATAACTATTCAGCTTTTATCCCGTGAATTAGTAGTACATGAAATGTCTGTATTTAATACTATGTCTAATTATTGATGCTAGTGTAGTGCACAGTAAACCCGATATTTAAACGTCCACAGCCATGCCAAAGTCTGCTAATCAGCCAAGTACAGGTACTGTCAAATCAGCCAAGTACAGGAACTGTCATATCAGACACGTACATGTTCTGTCAAAACAGTCAAGTACAGGTACTGTCAAATCAGCCAAGTACAGGAACTGTCATATCAGACACGTACATGTTCTGTTAAAACAGTCAAGTACAGGTACTGAAAAATCAGCCAAGTACCCAAAGTCTGCTAATCAGCCAAGTACAGGGACTGCCATATCAGCCAAGTACATGTTCTGTCAAAACAGCCAAGTACAGGTACTGTCAAATCAGACACGTACAAGTACTGTCAGATCAGTCAATTACAAGTACTGTCAAATCAGCCAAGTACAGGTACTGTCATATCAGCCAAGTACATGTTCTGTCAAAACAGTCAAGTACAGGTACTGTCAAATCAGCCAAGTACAGGTACTGTCAAATCAGCCAAGTACAGGTACTGTCATATCAGACACGGACATGTACTGTCATATCAGCCAAGTACATGCACTGTCAGATCAGTCAATTACAGGTACTGTCAAATCAGACACGGACATGTACTGTCAGATCAGTCAATTACAAGTACTGTCAAATCAGACACGTACATGTACTGTCAGATCAGTCAATTACAGGTACTGTAAAATCAGTTGAGTACAGGTACTGTCAAATCAGCCAAGAACATGTTCTGTCAAATCAATCAATTACAGGTACTGTCAAATCAGCCAAGTAGAGGTACTGTCAAATCAGTTGAGTACAGGTACTGTCAAATCAGTTGAGTACAGGTACTGACAATTCAGCTAAGTACAGGTACTGTCAAATCAGCCAGGTACAGGTATTGTCAAATCAGTCAAGTACAGGTACTGTAAAATCAGCCAAGTACATGTACTGTCAGATCGGTCAATTACAGGTACTGTCAAATCAGTTGAGTACAGGTACTGTCAAATCAGCCAAGTACGGGTACTGTCAAATCAGCCAAGTACAGGTACTGTCAAAACAGCCAAGTACAGGTACTGTAAAATCAGCCAAGTACAGGTTCTGTCAAATCAATCAATTACAGGTCCTGTCAAATCAGCCAACTACAGGTACTGTCAATTCAGTTAAGTACAGGTACTGACAAATCAGCCAAGTACAGGTACTGTCAAATCAGACAAGTACAGGTACTGTCAAAACAGTCAAGTACAGGTACTGTAAAATCAATCAATTACAGGTACTGTCAAATCGGCCAACTACAGGTACTGTCAAATCAGCCAAATACAGGTACTGTCAAAACAGTCAAGTACAGGTACTGTAAAATCAATCAATTACAGGTACTGTCAAATCGGCCAACTACAGGTACTGTCAAATCAGCCAAATACAGGTACTGTCAAAACAGTCAAGTACAGGTACTGTAAAATCAATCAATTACAGGTACTGTCAAATCGGCCAACTACAGGTACTGTCAAATCAGCCAAATACAGGTACTGTCAAAACAGTCAAGTACAGGTACTGTAAAATCAATCAATTACAGGTACTGTCAAATCGGCCAACTACAGGTACTGTCAAATCAGCCAAATACAGGTACTGTCAAAACAGTCAAGTACAGGTACTGTAAAATCAATCAATTACAGGTACTGTCAAATCGGCCAACTACAGGTACTGTCAAATCAGCCAAATACAGGTACTGTCAAAACAGTCAAGTACAGGTACTGTAAAATCAGCCAGGTACAGGTACTGTGAAATCAGTCAAGTACAGGTACTGTCAAATCAGTCAAGTACAGGTATTGTCAGTACCTCACTTGTATACATTAATTTCAGATATCTAAACTTAAAAGCACAAATGAGTATGGCAATGATTTGGTACAGATATTTTATAACAATATACTTATTGTAAACATTAAAATAACATTATGTCAGCTGATCATTTCTGTAGATCGTCGGCAACGTCGCACAACAAGGAACTATTACATGCACTGCTGCACCACAACATTGCTCATAATACACCACCCTATAGATAGATAGGTAAATAGGTACACGACTTACGTCAGGTTTTGGTCAGCAATACACATTCCTACTCCATGTAACCTGAGTGGAGGAGTATATAATGCACTCGTCTTTCACCAAGGTGGGCGGTGTTTTGACATTGAAAGCGCCAACCAGAGTGATTAACATAAGTTGAAATGCATATCTCATCATTGTTGTAAAAAAATCAATCTTACAAGAAAAACATTCTCGGTTTTTAATAGATTAGAGAAAGCATTATACTCATTGTCAATAAAATTTGTTGATAAAAAATTTAAATTTTTGTTTTGGTATTACAAGCTCGGTAGAAATACAACACACCAAAGTTAGTTCACCTATAAATCTAAATCAAGGAGGTAATTTGTCATCATTTCTAGATATAAAAAGAATTTGTCGCTGTTTTTATTTTGTATATTGGAACACTATGCATAGGACTTAGAAACATTATTATGTGTATATTTGTAAACACACAATGTTACCTCACTTCACAGATATGGCGTGAAACAGAACTATAGACAAGTAATGGTGAAATAGGTTGACACATTAGCAGTACATCTAATGTCTGTACGCTATATTATATCTAATTATTGATGTTAATGTAGACCACAGCAGACCTGAAATTTAAACGTCCACAGCCATGACAAAGTCTTGGCTGCTACCTTACGTATTTCAAGTTAACAATCACATTCTGTCAGCTGGTCACTTCTGCAGATCGTCGGCAACGTCGCACAACAAGGAAATAGTACACGTACTGCTGCACACTTATCGATTAAATCCCCATGATACACCACCCCTATAAATAGACCGCTAACGTCACGCTAGTGAGATTAATACACACTCATACCTGGCTAGATTGTATTATCATAGTACTGTCTGGCCGGTGGATCATCAAACACCAAACTTCTGACAGGGTAAACATTGTTATGTGATTCACAAATTTTAACAGATCTAACCAGACATTAACTTATAACAGCGAACTTCTATTATTATGTTTTGACATAATCTGCTTTGATAGATGTGACTATCAAAATGTGTTGTTCGTTGTCTGCGGACGAACTGACATTGTAAACAATGTGAGTGGTTATACGTGACTACAAATTTACTGTGGTTCCTATACATACAATATATTCTACAAAATATTTAGCCAAACGTACAAAAACCACTAACATCAACCACAGGAGTTAGAGAAAAGCATATTTCAGTGGACACTCAGGACTTTGTGAATACTCCAGTTTTTTTATTCGTGTAATGGAAACATTTTTTTCTTTGTGATTGTTTTGACAGTATGGAACAAACTGCTTCATTGTGAAATCAACTTCCTATAGTAAAAGAATATCAACGGTTTTGCATCATTTTATCATTATGGCTACATCCAAATACAAAGCTCAGATTCCTTTCCGTACCAAAGGTCAAACCACCTGTACACACCACAGGCGGAGACAACTAGACCATTACTGTGAAGAATGTCAAGTTCCTGTTTGCATCAAGTGTGTATCTACTGTACATAAGAGTCACCCTTTGTGTGACCTTAGTGAAATTACTCCTCAAACTAAACAAGACATTCAAAGCTTCATAGACAAAACTGAGAAAGTGGACCTTGTACAAATCGACCAGTACATCACTTCTACTGATGAACAACTAAAGGACAATGCTAGCATATTTGACAAACTTTCCAAACAGGTAAAGATACAAACAAACAAATTAATAGAAGATCTGGACCTGCTAGCAGCTCAGACTCTGTCTCTCTATAAACAAATGGAGGAGGATAACACCAAGCTACTACAAACGTACAAACAGGACCTGGAAATGTACAACACTCAGCTAAAACAACAGGTAAAAGAATGTAAAATTACCCTTCAGCGCGGCTCTGACATACATATCTACGACACAGGACATGATATTCAATCTACTGTCACTCTCCCTGTAGAACCTACCACGGGTACTGCTAGCTTCACTCCAAACCAAAATCCTCAGGGTTCCCTTGAACAAGCTATGGGAGAAGTTAACACATTAGGTCAAGGTCAAAGTCAGGCCTTAAAAGGTCAAGATCGGTTAGTTGGATCGTCTGCTGAACAAAGACCATATCCTACACAACAGAGGTCAGAATCAAAAGGAAGGAAACACTCTACAAAACAAAGATCAAAAAGAAGATCAAAAGGAACACAGCAAGTATCCAGTCCATTATATGCCTTGTTTTATGAGGCCGTGATATTGGAGGAGTGGGAGTCCCAATGCTACATTACTTCTGTATGTCCAACCACTGATGGCCAGGTGTGGACCAGTTTCCGTAACAGTGACATCTTAACGCTTCTGGACAGGAATGGCACAGTTGTACAGGTGGTTCAACACAATACCAGGATCACAGACATAAGCCTATCACCCACAGCCAACGCGTTATGGGTCTGTGACAAGGGAAACAACATCACAGAGCTTGTGGCAGGACGACTTGTGCAAAGATTCAGCACAAAGGAGGAACCAGAGTGTCTCTGTATCACAGCTAGTAACCATGTCATTGTGGGGATGTCCGAACACATCTCAAAATTTACCACAAAAGGTAAATTGGTACGTACTTCTTTGACAGCGGGGACTGGGAAGCCATTAGTGTGTACACCATACAGGATCTCAGAGTGCCCGGTCACTCACAATGTCACAGTTGCCGACTGGGATAATAGACATGATGGTGGTGAAGGGAAACCACATGTTGTTATCATGGACATAGATTTCAAGAAACTATATGTATATGGTGGTGAAGTCCAACATACACATCAATCAGCATCACAGTCAGAAGGTGGACCGTTAAACCCCTTTGGTGTTGTGTATGACAGTGTGGGTAACCTAGTCATAGCGGACAACAACAGTATCCTAATCACCAGTTATCGTGGTGAGTTACTCAGGATCATACACACACATGACAGTTTCTGCACACAGGCTGTTGGTGTAGACAAGGAGGATGTCCTGTGGGCAGCGTCTGAAGATGAAGGTGTCAAACTACTACAGTACATCAGTGTGTGACATCTGGAAAAAATACCATGCGTTTATCTAGTAACTATGACAACTAACATTAATAGGATAATAGAAGTTGTCACTTGAAAAATCACTTGAAGAATCACTTGATAAACCTTAACACCAGATAAAAACTACGGACCTGAGAAGTGTACGAACACAACAGACAATATATATAGCAATTATTGGAAATAAATCTATTGGTAGATCCGTATCTGTAATGATACAGCTTCTGACGTTACTTTCGGCCTGCTAGGCAACTCGTCGTTAGAGCTATTTGTTGACTGCTTCATGGTGATGAAAGTTATGTGACTTTAATCAAATTTAATACCTATGACGTCATATATAATTAGCCTTAGATATGAAGCAAAAATTAAGCAAGATTTTTATTTTTATCTGATGTAACTACCTGTTGCTTAATAGGAATATTTTACCAAAATTTCTTAAATATCCGTTTGGACAATACTTGCCCTCTTGACCTTTTGTTTTCACTGAAATTAATTCCTCTTTTGTAGATGTTTTGCTACAGACATTCCTATCTCCATTGAATAAAAATGCAGAACAAATATCTAATTCATTGTATTAACAAATGATAGCTTACTCCTTTAAATGGGTTTTTAAACAATTTTTGAATAATTCACAATCAAAGTGATGTGTTTTAATAAAAATAAACTGAATTCAACTCATTGGTGATTGATATTTCTTTATCGCAATTCTATGTGTGATTTGTGGTAATAAAATCATATTGAATGAACTGAAAACGGTGTTACTGATTATTATTTCGTCTTTTGTAATATTTTTTGGGCCAACAAGCACACATGGGATCCTATAGAAATATCTGCACCCACAATCATACCCTCTTAAAAGTTTCTATGTAAGATTGATTCTTTTCTTTACTCTGAACTGTTTAATAATTGGTCATGTAAAATGTAAATGCATATTGATGTAACTCTTGTTGGGAAATCGTGATAATAAACTGGAACTGTAAAAATTAAGGATTGATACTGGTTGACCATTTTCATTTTCTGATTATCCTCAAAATTCAAAATAAACATATGAAAGATCAGATCTGTGCAGTACTTTGTGAGAAATAGTAAAAACAACATTGAACTGTCAAAACTGAAAATGGCTCTCTGGTGGATATCCTTTATTTCCAATCAGCTCAAACTAATAAGCCTAGTGCTATCAGATCACTTCTAAAATGGGTACTTCAGCCATTTAAAAAAAACTACATGTATATAATGTTTGTATATGCTTCAAACAAGATATATTATGTGTGTATTTTCTTGGATTTCACGTCTTAAATTTAAAACTCACGACATGCTGTTTAGCATTGAAGATGAGCAGTTTTAGGACCAACAAATCATTTAAAATGTGTTTGATGGCCGCTTCTATTAAGTACCCATCACGTACAGTATGTTATGTGATCCCATGTCATTTGAAAGGGTTTGCCGTTGCGAGTATTTGCGTTTAATTTGCATTTAAAAACACTCCAACTTTCAGCCTTGCTTATAGGATACAATTTTAAAAGATGATTATTTTACAGCATACTGCAACTTACCAAAGTTGCTTATGTTACAGCAAAATCAAAACTTACCAAGGATGATTATGTTACAACATAATGACACTTACCAAAGATGATTATGTTACAGCATAATGACACTTACCAAAGATGATTATGTTACAGCATAATGACGCTTACCAAAGATGATTATGTTACAGCATAATGATACTTACCACATTTGATTATGTTACAGCATAATGACACTTACCAAAGATGATTATGTTACAGCATAATGAAATTTACCAAAGATGATTATGTTACAGCATAATGAAACTTACCAAGGATGATTATGTTACAGCATAATGAAACTTACCACATATGATTATGTTACAGCATAATGACACTTACCAAAGATGATTATGTTACAGCATAATGACACTTACCACATATGATTATGTTACTGCATAATGACACTTACCAAAGATGATTATAGTACAGCATAATGAAACTTACCACATATGATTATGTTACTGCATAATGACACTTAACAAAGATGATTATGTTACAGCATAATGACACTTACCACATATGATTATGTTACTGCATAATGACACTTACCAAAGATGATTATAGTACAGCATAATGAAACTTACCACATATGATTATGTTACTGCATAATGACACTTAACAAAGATGATTATGTTACAGCATAATGACACTTACCACATATGATTATGTTACTGCATAATGACACTTACCAAAGATGATTATAGTACAGCATAATGAAACTTACCACATATGATTATGTTACTGCATAATGACACTTACCAAAGATGATTATAGCTAAGCATAATAAAATTACCAAAGATGATTATAGTACAGTAAATAAAACTTACCAAAGATGTCATAGCATCGTTGATAATGTTATATATATATATTAAAAACACAGCTGATAAAAGCATATCATTGTCTTTTTAAAGTATAGAATATATAATGTGTTTTAAAAGGAGACGGTAAAGTTGTCTTGTACTTAATTTGCGGTTATTTTCGTCATAAAGTACTGAAGTCTGCCCATTCAGGATAAAATCTATTTAAAATACATTTTGATGTGACGTGCTATTGAAAGTATCAGCATCCATGATCCCTTTTCATGAATATGGAACTTGGGACTGATAAAAAACAAAGATGGCCGACAGGGGGCCATCTTAAATTTTCAGAGTTGAAGTTTGTTAGCGCTATCAATCTTCTACACTAAAAAATCAAGATGATAACAAGTTGGCCATCTTGGTTTTCCAATCAGTCCCACAGCTCGATATGCATAACTCGAGACAATGAGAAACCTTCATGAGATATTTGAGTAAGATCCTTTCAATACGTTCTGAGAAATAGCACTAACAAACTTCAATTCTGAAAATTTAAGATTGCCTTCTGTCTGCTACTAGGCGAAAAGCTGAAAATCAGCAGTTTGATATTTAGGATGTTTTCAAATAATAAAATATCATCAACATCTTCGCGATTATCTATTGATCGAACCGAACTCCTGAGCACCAGCTAATATTTACCTGACTCCATGGTCCAATTTGATACATCTACTGTCATCTAAAGCTTACAATAATTGCATTGACAACTCGGACAACAGCAATGGCTTTCAATCGTAAAACAATAACTCAAACTTGACAGCCCTGATTATGTATACATGAAGATGATAATTATGATGATGATAATAATAAACCCACGCTTTTGTGTGTAAGTGATAGTTTGTGTCCAAATTCATTTGATGGATATGTAAAAAAGTTCTTAGATCTTTTTAAAAATACTCTGCTATGACAGGTATTTATTTGAGCCAACCGGGAAGAAAGATCGGCTTCTTTCTAGAGCGGTACTTAGTGTTCGTTTGGGTCTGAGTTGTGACAGACACTCAGTCAGAACCATCAGCCACTAGCCAGAGTGGTACTAAGTATAAGTTATGTCTGAGTTGTGACAGGTACTTACTTGAGCCATCCAGGCGGAAATATTGGCCACCATCCAAAGCCGTACTTGTCTCTCTGCCTGATTACTTGACCTTCCTCTCTATCCTCTATCTTTATGTAACCCCTTCCCTTTATTCTTGTCTGCCCGCTTGTGGACCGTCTGTCTTTCTATTCCTGCCTGCTACTTTGTTACTATCTGTCACTCGAATTTAATATCTTGCAGAACAACCTATTGATAAAGAACAGTGTATTGGAGAAAAGGCATGTTTTAATTTATATTGTGTTACTTGTGTCAGATTGTGTTGTAAATATCATTAACAATGCAATACGTATAAGTTCAAACGAACCGGCTCCTGCGTGCGCAGGATTTTAAAATTAAAGTGTTATACGGATTTTGTATGTTTTACCATTAGGATAAGCATTCCACTCATCTGAGCTATACCTTTTGGGATCTGATGAAGATGATGGGTTTTTTTCATAAGGGAACATAAATCTCTCATTTGAATCACGATACTGAAATCCTAGTAAGCAGACATTTATAAGGGAAAAACAATATGTATATGAGACGGGAATATATCTGGTTAAGAATGTAAAATAACCCTTCAGCGGGGCTCTTATATACAAATCTGCAACAAAAGATATGAAATTCAATCTTCAGTCACTCTCCCCGTAAATCCTACCCTACGTACTTCTAGTTTCACTCCAAGGCAAAATCCACAGGGTCACCTGAAACAAACTTTGGGAGAAGTTAATACCTCAGGTCAAGGTCAAGGTCAAACCCTGCTAGGCCATAATCTGTCAGTTGGATCATCTGCTGGACAAGAACCAGCTCATACACAACAGTCAGGACCAAAGAACACAACAAAATTCAGAATGAAAGGACTTGTCCAGTCCAGTATATACATTGTTGCCTCAGACCAAGGTATTGTGGGAGTGGGAGTCTCCATGTTTTATATGATATGTATGTACAACAACTGAAGGACACGTGTGGACTAGCTTGAGTCAGTACGACTTTTATACAGATTCAGTACCAGGGAGTTACAACAGTGTCTCTGCGTTACAGTTAGTACCCATGTCATAGTGGGTATGGCCAAACAAATCTCAAAGTTTTCCACAAAAGATTTATTGGTACATAATACATTGGCTGTAGGGGCTGGGAGACCATTAGTGTGTACACCACACAGTATATCAGAGTGTCCTCTTACCCACAATGTCGCAGTGACTTACCGGGATAGTATACATGATGTTGGTGAAGGGAAACCATATGTTGTTGTCATGGACACATATTTTAAGAAACTTTTTGTGTATGGTGGCGAAGTCCCACATACACGTCAACCAACATCACAGTCAGGATGTGAGCTAATTCACCCCCATGGTGTGGTGTATGGCAGTGTGGGTAACCTAGTCATAGGGGACCGTGACAACAAACGTATTCTACTCAACAGTGGGCGTGGTGAATTCCTCAGGATCATACACACTGACAACTTCAGAACAATTGCTGTTAGTGTAGATAGGGAGGGTGTGCTCTGGGCTTTGTTTGGGCTTAACAATGTCAAACTACTACAGTACAACATTGCGCTGGACAAACAACAATGCATTATATCGTAACCATGAAAACATGTTTGGATAATACAAAGCTGACTTGATCTTCAACCCGGACATATATTATTGACCTGCATAGTGAATCAGTTCAACAGACATCATATCTCACAATTATTTGAAATTGTTCAAATTTAAAAGAAAACAGAAACGAGATAATAGAAATTCAATAACCAGCTCATTAAAACCATAAACAAATAAGAAGTTAATATGAAAACAAATCTCATATACAAAATAACAGCTTTGTATCAATTTCAAGCATTCCAACCTAGAAGAATTATTTTTACAATTTCGGAAATTGTAGATATTTCGAAATCGCTGTCAGCTGGCAAAGGTACGGGTCATGACAAAATAAGCCGTCGGCTTTTTAACAGCTCTTCAAAAGCAGGTCAGCAAGGAACCGGGCCGCCACGTGCCCGACCGAACTTTCTTAATCTGCATATCACAGTGTTTGCAGATTTCAAAATGTTCTCTTGGATTAAGATAATCTCTGAAAATGAAAACATTGTTGGACAGCTAGATAGAGGACAGATGGAAG